GCTTTTCTTTTGCTTTAATAAAGCGAAAGCGCAACGCCGCCGCGCAATGCGATTTGCAACAAAAACGAGTCCACGCCACCACAAAAAAAGCCAAATATGTAGTGAAAAAAAAAACAGACTGAATAATTGATTCGATTGATTGATTGATTGAATGAATGAGTTGGGGAGTGGACTGGAGTGGAGTGGACTGGACTGGACTGGCAAGTGGTTGTTAAAGTGAGTGACGACAGTAATTGGTTGCCAATTCCATATGCATGAGAGCGAGCACGAGGAGTAGAAAAGGGAGTTTCGTATGCTATGCAGGCGTCAGGAGCCGCTGGAGTGTGGTGAAATGATCAGATCAGCGCGATCAGTTCGGCTGCTGTGGTGAAGTGAGGGATTTGTGATGCTTTGTGGTGAAATCGGACGAAAGCCCTGCCGCTGCCTCTGCCGCTGCCGCTGCCGCTGCGCTTTCGAATCAAACAGATAGACGCTGGAGTGCGTGTGCGTGTGCGTGTGTCTGTGTGCGTGTGGAGGTGAGAAGGAATATCTTGACACCTGGAATGCGTGTAAAAGTGGGAAGGAAAGGAATCGATGACATTGAAATACCTGTGGAGGTGACAATCATCGCATTCGGATGACCTCTCAAATAGCTGCGGAGGTGAGAACTTCATTCGGATGACAATTGATCAGGGGCTTTGTCGTGCCTCCTGCTTGCATTCGAGACGCGTTGAGATTGTGATTGAGATATCTTCAACTTATTTAGTATGCAACAGCCATGTTCAGCGCAAAAATGTATACCCAGAAAAGTAGCTATAAAATGGCGCATAAAAAAGTGATTTCCCTGCTTTTAAAAGGGGTATTCCCAACTTTTATACAACTTTTGCCACATTCGGGCACAAATAAAAATTTTAAGAGTACAAAATTTGAAAGCCCATTATACGCTTCAATTGGGCCAACAAAAACAACAAAAAGAAAACAAAAACAAAAATTCCTTTTCCGGCAGTCGACCGGCGCCATTTTGTTTGTGCGCCATTTTCCGACACGATTTTTGCCGTAAAGCACTTTCAATTTGATGCCCAAGTTGGTCTCTTTTTTTTTTTATATGCTTTTATGCGGCCATTACCGCAGCAACGCCCCCAAGCCGCAGGCCCCAACCTCCGGGTAAAAGCCCTCCAAAAGTTGATGGAATTACATTTAACGGAATAAAATGACGACGAATGGCCGAGAACATAGAAATTGATAGTTTTTGACGGTGAAATTTGAATAAAATTTGGGCATTCGTGTAATGGAAAGCCACATAAACAAAATGTTTCGAATTTTGATGAAATAATCGTGCCATCACATCAGATGGGTAGGCGATCAGGGGAGGGGGGGGCCAGGTGTCTTTCCCGGACTGCGCATTTCCGTCGTTTTAATCCTTTAATGTGCCCCAGCCCTGCTGCTCCTACTGCCTACTGTCGGGACAGGATGTGCACCATCTGTGTCCCGTCGCTCGCCAAATCCATTATTATTATTATTTCTCTTTTTTGTGCATCATTTTTGCACGCCGGTTGCCGTCAGTATGGGATCCCAGGCAGTAGGCGGCTCATTGTTTGCGGTGTTAATATTTGGCGTCTGGCACCCAACAGACAGGAGGAGCAGCATCCAGCTACAGGACGGAGACCAAAACATCAGCAAACACACCGAGCAGAACTGTGGAGTGCAACAGGGACAACAGACAAACATCCAGGACACCTTCTCATCCTCATTTGGCAGAGGAGCAGGCAAGGCAGGGCAGGGTAGGGTAGGGCAGGGCAGGCCGTGTGCCATTTAATTGTCACTCTTTTTTTTTTTTTTTGCTGTTTGTCTCAGTGTCGCTGCTGTAGTTGTTGTAATGTCATTGCACTTTTTAGAGGCAGGGATGTTGCATGTGCCTGCAAAGGAATGGAAATATGCCAAAAATAGCTGCAGAATCTGTGGAAATATGAACAAAATTTAACCTTAACTGAAGCAAATGTACATTCAAGTGAGAGGAATACTTTGAAAGGACACTTGGCTCTGTAAAATAACTCGAATAACAGGGAAAATAATGGATAAAGCAATGGAATGGAAAAAAATACAATATTTAATTGGAAAAAGAGTCTCAGATTGGGTTGAGTGGCCAGAAATGGAGATTGCTTCAGAAAATGTATTAGATGATAAGATATTTACATAGTATATGATATAAGAGAGGGAAAAACCCATTCGTGTACACTTGGAAATATCTTGAAATGTATTTTGAAAACAAAGAAAAATGCTAGAACCGCTAAGAATAACAAAGACTAGCGGTCTAAAAGAAAACGTACATAATAGCTGGGAAAAATCCGATGGAATATTCAAACGAATACCTGAAAGCACACACAAGATGAGGGACTGAAAAGCGTAAATGGTAGTGTATGCTAGGGAAAAGCGTAACCTCAATAGACAAAAACAATGGGAATAAACAATATGCTCTAAGATGGCATTTGCTGTGAATATGCCAAGTGATCTTGGGATTGAGATAAGCCCTCACAAAACTAAAAAAAAGTTAAGAACAAATTTTTGACGTGTTTCTTTATGTTTCATTACAGGATGTCCGATGCGCAGATCTAGCCATTAGTATACCCAACAATCCCGGCCTCGACGATGGTGCCTCGTATCGTCTGGACTATAGTCCGCCCTTTGGCTATCCGGAGCCAAACACAACCATCGCCTCCAGGGACATTGGCGATGAGATACAATTCTCGCGTGCCCTTCCCGGCACCAAATACAATTTCTGGCTTTATTACACGAATTTCACGCATCACGATTGGCTCACATGGACGGTGACCATAACAACGGGTGAGTAATGGAAGGAAAACGGTGTTGCTTGCCAGCACTGGCTCTTTTGCAGTGTTGGTAAGCGAGCAGAACATTGCTGCTTAGACTGCCTTTGGTACAGTTCCGTCCAAAGGGACTTTCGCTAATAGTTTTTGGGGGGGAATATGAGAAGCATTGGCAGAGCAGACATTTGAGGATTAAGGCCTCCTTCCTCAGGTTGAGGGAATTCACATCACAAAAGATTAGGACCTCGTCCGCCAATGGCTTCTACTCTCCATCTAATTGCCTTTTCCTGTTGTGTCCGACAGTGGCAGGACAAGTGAGAGAAAACTCTATCGATGAAACCAAATACACGACGAACGGTCTGCAAATTGCTAATTGCAGTTCAATAGTAGGCCGCCCCCCGCCTTAACCATCGTCTGGGTGTTGCCTAATGAGCAAAACTCTGACTAAAGCCACTGCTGTTACACGATATCTTTTGTACCGCCGCGACGGCTTTGTGGCAATACCAGTGGGATGGATATTTCAGCAATGTACATTTGATAGCATGAAAGTCCAATGCAAGGAAGACATTCCATTCCATTCAATTGTGGGGTTCCACCCGAATGGATTTACATACACATACACTCGGAAAAGTGGAACAGTAAAATGAAAACCATCCATATTTCAATTCAACACACATCGAAGATTTTAACCAAAAGGTCCTCTTTTTTTCAAAGCGGATCCCCAAATCACCCCAAATTTTAGTGTCTCCCGACTGTATGCATGAACGTGTAAAGGAACACCCGTACAAACCGTGTGAATGGCTCTCTTGCGCTCTACGAACAGTGTGAATGGCAAAACGCATCGGTTAAATGCGTATCGTGTGACAGTCACTCGAGCAACAGAATCAATTTGGCAAAAGAGAGTGAGAGCGAGCCAGTGGGAAGTTTGGGCGGAGGCGGGGGGAGTGTCTGAGCGGCCAACACCTGTCCCTTGGTGACCGACCACCAGCGGGTGCGAGCGGTAGAGAGAGTGGTCAAGGGAGACAGAGAAAAGGGCGTGGAAGTGCGCCTATAAAATGACCCAAGGGTATCGTTTGAATGAAATGGAAGTGGACCCAGCCCCCACGTGCCGCAGACAATCCACAAACAATCCTCCAGGGAGGGAAGGGGGGTGGTAGGCATTGGGAGGCCATCGGTGTTGTTGCTGGAATAACGAGAGCGAGGAGTGTCCACAGTCCCCACTGTCAAAGAAAATTCCAAGACAAAAACAAAGCAAAGCCGCGCGGAATGGATGAAAGTGAGAAGAAACGATCAAAAAGTATGTACATATGTACGTGTGTATACGTGTGTATACGTGTGTGTGTGTGCCGATGGCTTTATCGATCGACAGGCAGAAGTAAAAAAGCTTTAGCAGAGGGCGCTTTTGACAGCGAAAGCTTAGAGGGAGATTAGAGAGCGAGTGGGAGTGGGAGTGGGAGAGGGAGAGGGAGATTTCAGATTCGAGTTTCAAGTGGAAGCTGTCGCAGGAGCGGGTGGGCACGAGATAGAGGAAGAAATCCGACTGGAAGCGTAAGCTCTTCCTAGCCTAAAGCCTGGAATGGAAGTTTGAGTGGAAATAGACGCTGAGAGACGGACAAAAACAATGATTTTATTCAATTAATTCGTCACATTCGAAGAATGTGTCAGTGGGTTGAGTGCCAATCTACTGGTCTTCTGGTGGACTCATCTCAATCGCCTCCTGCTCGTGCTCCTGCTCCTGCTCCTGCTCTGCTGCTGGGATCTCAGTCTCGCTCTCAACTGATAGATCCGGAATCTCCTGTGGCAACCGCTGCCAAAGGTACTTGCTGTCCAGGTCCTCCAGTCGCTGGGACTCTTCGTCGTGCTTCTTCAGCAACATTTTCGATACCATTATCTCGTGCACCAGAAAGACCACCGGAATGGCGACAACGGCCAGGGACAAGGCCACGTAGAGAAAGAATATTTTTGACCAATCGAACATGGTGGACTAATTTTGTTGGTTACGAAATTTTCGAATAGGGGATAGGGAGTTTGTTTAGAAAACTATGAATGAAGTATATGTACTACACAACTATACAACGGAGTCTTGACTGATCGGTCAAGGGGAGTAAGATATACATATACTGAATGAGTGGATGGGATTGTTTAAGCTATGCTTGAGAGACCCAGATCTACGGGCTTTTCCTACTCCTGAGACCCATGGGTATGAGCCTAGACTTGAAGCCTAGACTACTTCAATTCTCTTTGGGAGTATCCTTCGTCTCTCGGTTTCGTCTGTTTGTCAATGCCTTGGGCAGCTGTCGTCGATCCGAAGAATCCAACAACAAAATACACACATCCAACCAAGAGCAATCTGTGTTGGAAGGATTCTGTCGCTTCCTTCAGATGGGAATAGAGCTCGAGATTAGGGACTAGCCTGAGAGAGCGGCAAGTAGACACATCCAAAGGGATTTCTCTCGTCTCAATTGATGCATAATTTGTGCCTGTAATTCCTTTTTCCAGCACCCGATCCACCATCGAATCTGTCAGTGCAGGTGAGGAGCGGCAAGAATGCCATCATCCTGTGGTCCCCGCCCACCCAGGGCAGCTATACGGCATTCAAGATCAAGGTGCTGGGCCTGTCAGAGGCCTCGAGCAGCTTCAACCGCACCTTCCAGGTGAACGACAACACATTCCAGCACAGCGTGAAGGAACTGACGCCCGGCGCCACCTACCAGGTGCAGGCCTACACGATCTACGATGGCAAGGAGTCGGTGGCCTATACGAGCCGAAATTTTACCACAAGTGAGTAATCGTCCTGTTGGTCCTTCCCCCCAGGTGGCAGTACCCCGGCCCGATAACTACCATTCGTTTGTTGTACTTTGGTGATGGTGTGACTCAACCTTTGATTAACTTCTCTGTTTCCCCACGCTCTCATTGTAACTAAAAAACAAATGCCAATCTAATAACCAAACACACACACACAAAAACACACACAAAAAACACACAAAAAGGTCGAAGGACGCGGCACAAAGAGTTGCTGGACATAAAGATCCTAAGAGGTAATGTTTTAAACCAACCAATGCAACCCATTCCTATCTGCATGCCACACACAACTGGTGTTCCCCTTTGCACTCACTAGACCGTAAGTGAGGCACGTAACCCTGACCCCCAGCACCCCCCCACACACAGCGCCAGTGGCAGTCCCAATCCCAATCCCAATCCCAATCCCAGAGGCCTCAACAGCAAACTACTGACTAACCGGCATTGGTCTGGCACTGGTCCAAAATGTGCACGAAAATTCATTTTTAATCCGACAATTGCCAAACCGCAGTGCACTTTCTCCCAGAGACCACACAGTGGCAAAGCAACAGCCAACGGACCACAGCAAAGCAGTGTACATTCTGCAGTTTACACGTACAGTGGTCACTCCTGTTAGGTGGGATGTAGCAACTCGAACTCGTTCCAAAACCGCTTAAGGAGCATCAAATAATCAAAGAAATGCTAGGAGGAGGACTCTATATACTGTAGAGGCGTCCCTCATAATCAGGATAACCGATTAAAGTGCTTAAGAACAGTTCTTTAGAGATTCTTCTTTAATTCAACAAAAAACCAGTTGAAATATTTGAAGTGCCAGATATTCTGCTTTAGCGCACAGATAATTCTACGAATACATACAAAACAAACAGTTGCAAGTATTTTATGTGGCGGCACACGTCCCTCGACAACAAGATACCAGTTTCCAGTGTTCTGAAGAACAGTTCTTAGATAATTTGTCAGAAATTTGTTGATCAGAATGTGTAAAATAAATATAGTCTTGCAGCAGTGCAAGGATGACTCTTACAGGACTAGATATCTAGATATTTCATGAATTTGCCGACACTCTTTGGCACCATTTGAAGCACTTAGCGATGGTCTTTATTTCAAGAATATGTTTGCCAAGGACTACCAAAGTATTTTAGCCCCCTCCAAGCACTACAAATCAGAGTAATTTTGTAAACTTTAGATCTAGCTTAAGCACTAACATTTGCCTAAACTTTAACGCTTGCTTTACGTATAACACAAAAATGTTTCATTGCTGTAAGGAACTGAACCCAGTAGCATCTCAGTTGCATGATAACCACTGTACCCACTGCATCCCAAAACAGTCGAAAAGAAAGCACTAGAAACTAGAATATTCTGCAACAAAAACACACAACAACAAGGCTCTAACACAAAGCAATCCTCTGCCATTGCCGAATATCAATCCCTACCGTCCCGCAGAGCCCAACACGCCGGGGAAATTCATTGTCTGGTTCCGTAATGAGACGACGCTGCTGGTGCTGTGGCAACCGCCATATCCCGCCGGCATTTATACGCACTACAAGGTCTCCATCGAGCCGCCGGACGCCAACGACAGCGTCCTCTATGTGGAGAAGGAGGGCGAGCCCCCGGGACCGGCGCAGGCGGCCTTCAAGGGTCTGGTGCCGGGCAGAGCCTACAATATCTCAGTGCAGACAATGTCCGAGGACGAGATATCGCTGCCGACGACAGCCCAGTATCGAACAGTGCCGTTGCGTCCGCTGAACGTTACCTTTGACCGGGACTTTATCACCTCCAATTCGTTCCGGGTGCTCTGGGAGGCCCCCAAGGGGATATCGGAGTTCGACAAGTACCAGGTGTCGGTGGCCACCACCCGCCGCCAGTCGACGGTGACACGCAGCAACGAGCCGATCGCGTACTTTGACTTCAGGGACATTGCCGAGCCCGGCAAGACGTTCAACGTGATCGTGAAGACGGTGTCGGGAAAGGTAACCTCATGGCCAGCCACGGGGGATGTGACGCTGCGTCCGTTGCCGGTTAGGAATCTGCGAAGCATCAACGATGACAAGACCAACACGATGGTCATCACGTGGGAGGCGGATCCGGCCAGTACACAGGATGAATATCGCATTGTGTGAGTAAAAGGGGACCCGGCAGACACGTATGCACAAACGAATGCCAGAGCCCCTCGATCTCTTTTGATCTCTTATGAACACTTTTTTCCCTACCGCAGATACCACGAGCTGGAGACCTTCAATGGCGACACCAGCACCCTGACCACGGATCGGACACGCTTCACCTTGGAGAGCCTCCTGCCCGGCCGGAACTACTCTCTCTCCGTTCAGGCCGTGTCCAAGAAGATGGAATCGAATGAAACCAGCATCTTTGTGGTCACACGACCCTCTTCGCCCATCATTGAGGATCTGAAGAGCATTCGCATGGGTCTGAACATCAGCTGGAAAAGCGACGTCAACTCAAAGCAGGAACAGTACGAGGTCTTGTACTCGAGAAACGGGACGAGCGAGGTGCGAACTCTCATCACCAAGGAGTCGCGGCTGGTTATCAAGAATCTGCAGCCGGGCGCGGGCTACGAACTGAAGGTCTTTGCCGTCAGTCATGAGCTGAGGAGCGAGCCGCATGCCTACTTCCAGGCCGTCTGTAAGTGGCCTCCAAAGCAGTGCCAGCTAATCCGCAGCTAATTTTTGAATCTCCCCGTGTATTCGCAGATCCCAATCCACCGCGCAACATGACCATCGAAACGGTGCGCAGCAATTCAGTTTTGGTCCATTGGTCGCCCCCAGAGAGCGGAGAGTTTACGGAGTACTCGATACGCTATCGGACGGACAGCGAACAGCAGTGGGTGCGCCTGCCCAGTGTCCGTTCAACGGAGGCGGACATCACCGACATGACCAAGGGCGAGAAGTACACCATTCAGGTGAATACCGTCAGCTTTGGCGTCGAGAGTCCTGTGCCCCAGGAGGTAAACACGACAGTGCCCCCGAATCCCGTCTCGAATATCATCCAACTGGTGGACTCGCGCAACATTACGCTGGAGTGGCCCAAGCCGGAGGGACGAGTGGAGTCGTACATTCTGAAATGGTGGCCCAGCGACAATCCCGGTCGTGTCCAGACCAAAAATGTCTCCGAGAATAAGTCGGGTAAGGACCTATAGAGCTTTTCTTTTTGTTCTTTCAATCTTTTTGTGGCACTCTGAACCCCATCTCTAATGGAAATATATAATGATAATGATTCTCTCCCACAGCTGATGATCTGTCCACAGTGCGTGTGCTCATTGGCGAACTGATGCCGGGCGTGCAGTACAAGTTTGATATACAGACAACATCGTATGGCATCCTTTCGGGTATCACCAGCCTCTATCCGCGCACAATGCCGCTCATTCAGTCGGATGTGGTGGTGGCCAATGGCGAGAAGGAGGACGAACGGGAGACGATCACCCTGAGCTATACGCCCACACCGCAGTCCTCATCGAAGTTCGACATCTATCGCTTCTCGCTGGGCGATGCCGAGATCAAGGACAAGGAGAAGCTGGCCAACGATACGGACCGAAAGGTTACCTTCACAGGCTTGGTGCCGGGACGCCTGTACAACATCACCGTATGGACGGTGAGCGGCGGTGTGGCCAGTCTGCCCATTCAGCGGCAGGATCGCCTCTATCCAGAGCCCATTACCCAGCTGCATGCCACCAATATCACGGACACAGAGATCTCGCTGCGCTGGGACCTGCCCAAGGGCGAGTACAATGATTTCGATATTGCCTACCTCACGGCCGACAACCTGCTGGCCCAGAACATGACCATACGGAATGATATCACGATCAGCGATCTGCGGCCGCATCGTAACTACACCTTCACGGTGGTGGTGCGCTCCGGCACAGAGTCGTCGGTGCTGCGCAGCAGTTCCCCGCTCTCGGCGAGTTTCACCACCAACGAGGCCGTGCCCGGACGTGTGGAGCGTTTCCATCCGACTGATGTCCAGCCCAGCGAGATCAATTTCGAGTGGTCGCTGCCGTCCAGCGAGGCCAACGGAGTGATCCGACAGTTTTCGATTGCGTACACGAACGTCAACAATCTGACGGATGCCGGCATGCAGGACTTTGACTCCGAGGAGTCCATCGGTGTGATCAAGAACCTTAAGCCCGGCGAGACGTACGTCTTCAAGATACAGGCCAAGACGGCAATTGGCTTTGGGCCGGAGCGGGAGTACAGGCAAACGATGCCCATATTGGCGCCACCACGACCCGCCACCCAGGTGGTGCCCACGGAAGTGTATCGCAGCTCGTCCACGATACAGATCCGTTTCCGCAAGAACTACTTCTCCGATCAGAACGGACAGGTGCGCATGTACACGATCATTGTGGCCGAGGATGATGCCAAGAATGCCTCTGGGCTGGAGATGCCCAGCTGGCATGACGTCCAGTCGTACAGCGTGTGGCTGCCCTATCAGGCCATCGATCCGTACTATCCGTTTGAGAATCGATCTGTGGAGGACTTCACCATTGGCACCGAGAACTGTGACAATCACAAGATCGGCTACTGCAACGGACCCCTGAAGTCTGGCACCACATATCGCGTGAAAGTGCGCGCCTTCACGGGACCCGACAAGTTCACGGACACCGCCTATAGTTTCCCCATTCAGACAGGTAAGAGTCCCTATCCCCTAGCCCGCCCACCATGCATACTATTCCTTAATCCATCTCTCGTTGTGTATTTAAACCATGTCTTGCGTTTGCATGTTCTATGTTAAAAGAACTGCTAAGCTCTCCGGGTAAGCCATCGAATTTAGGTGAAACTTTGGTTTTTTTTTTTAGTTTTTCTCTCTTGCATAAACCTTAGATGGCTTTTTCTTTGATTTGTTTACGTTTTCCAACTGAAATTCGTCACGAGTGTTCAAAATGTATCTACAAAGATTGTTAAACCAGGCGTTTCTTACAGTGTACGTACAGCAGCGCCCTTCGGCTGAGCTTGGGTGTCGCTTGGGTGTCGCTTGGGCCTGCCATTGCATATAAAAAGCCTCCACAGTTTTGAGAATCTAGTATATGACCTTTGATGTACCGTCTTACGCGTCGTACAGTAGCGCCCTTCGGCTGATTTATATATATACTAGACTTTTCTTAGCTGAATGTCTCTTAGAGTGTCTCTTGGAGATGTGATGACGTTTTCATCCAGTATTTCTTACATTAAATTCTGCTCATTTCTATACTCTTCTGTTTACGTTATGTAATGCAGCAGCGCACCTCGGCTGCTCGTAGAATGCGGCGCTTAACAGGCTCTGGCTTGCTGTCGCTCGGTCCATAGACTGACTGCCTCTCATATTCTCATAATTGTAGTGGATATCTTTTCTTGGACCTGCGCGTCATCTGCAGTACTGTACCGTTCCGTTACTGCGGATAATTCTCCTAAAACTATCTTAAAATCCCTAAGCCTGTGATACGAAGTTTATTTCTTGGCGATATCCTTTTGTTTTCATGCCCCGCAATCTCTCAGCACCTGCCACTAATGCTACGATTGTTGTTCCACCTTTAGATCAGGACAACACCTCATTGATTGTGGCCATCACTGTGCCACTGACCATTATTCTGGTGCTGCTTGTGACGTTGATGTTCTATAAGCGACGGCGCAACAATTGCCGCAAGACCACCAAGGACTCGCGGGCCAACGACAACATGTCCCTGCCGGATAGCGTTATCGAACAGAACCGTCCCATTCTGATCAAGAACTTTGCGGAGCACTATCGTCTGATGTCCGCCGACTCGGACTTCCGTTTCAGCGAGGAGTTCGAGGAACTGAAGCATGTGGGTCGCGACCAGCCATGCACTTTTGCGGATTTGCCCTGCAATCGTCCAAAGAACCGATTCACCAACATCCTGCCCTACGATCATTCACGCTTCAAGCTCCAGCCCGTGGACGACGACGAGGGCTCCGACTACATCAACGCCAACTATGTGCCCGGCCACAACTCGCCGCGCGAGTTTATTGTCACCCAGGGACCGCTGCACTCGACGCGGGACGACTTCTGGCGCATGTGCTGGGAGAGCAACTCGCGGGCGATCGTGATGCTGACCCGCTGCTTCGAGAAGGGCAGGGAGAAGTGCGATCAGTACTGGCCCAACGACACGGTGCCGGTCTTTTACGGTGACATCAAGGTCCAGATCCTGAACGACAGTCACTATGCCGACTGGGTGATGACCGAGTTTATGCTCTGCAGAGTAAGAATGAACTTCCCCAATCGTTCTGGATCGATTCTAAACACCTTTTTGTCTGTTTACAGGGCAGCGAGCAGCGCATTTTGAGGCACTTCCACTTTACCACTTGGCCCGACTTCGGGGTGCCAAATCCTCCCCAAACGCTGGTGCGTTTCGTGCGCGCCTTCCGTGATCGAATCGGGGCCGAGCAGCGACCGATTGTGGTCCACTGCAGTGCTGGCGTTGGTAGATCGGGCACCTTCATCACACTGGATCGCATACTCCAGCAGATCAATACCTCCGACTACGTGGACATCTTTGGCATCGTCTATGCCATGCGAAAGGGTGCGTCTACATTTTGGCTGCAGCAAAAAATGTTTAGCAAAATAGGAGAATGTTTTAGAAGCTGTTTTAGCTCTGTACATTTTAAATGAATGAAACTCTTTGTGTGCAACGGGGAAATCTTCTTCGTCGAGGCACATGTGTCGCGACATTAAGATACCCCTGTAAGTTACCCTCAAGATACCCCTCAGTTAGCTTATATACAATATGTAAATTCCACAAGCGATTCCAGCTCTCTTGTAGGATCATTCTCCAAAGCTGTACATTTTCTGGCCGTTGTCGATTGTCTCGTATTTCACGAAATAATCCTTCCTATTTCCTATTTAGAGCGCGTTTGGATGGTCCAAACGGAGCAGCAGTACATCTGCATCCACCAGTGCCTGCTGGCGGTGCTCGAGGGCAAGGAGAACATTGTGGGTCCTGCGCGGGAGATGCACGACAACGAGGGCTACGAAGGTATGTGACGATCATGCCTTTATATCCCCAAATCCGTACGCTTCATCCAGTTTTCGCTCGCGCGAGCGCGTGCGCGCACACAAAAATGACTAACCCCCACCCACCGAAAAAGAAACACTCCTTTATGGGACACACCCAAGGACAACATGGGATCGATGGAGCCTGAAACTTGTGTTTTATTTTATTTTTAGTGTAGCTTTGTACAAAAAAAAAAAAATGAATACCCTACAGACCTTCGGTGATGGGCTAACAAAATGACTAACTTAACGCTCTCTTCCCATTCATTGCCCATTTCTGCTGCTGCTAAAAAAAATATATATATATATATGAAAAAAAAAAACAAAAACAAAGGACAACAAGTGGTGCAGCTGGACGAGAACGGAGATGTGGTGGCCACCATTGAGGGCCATCTCTCGCATCACGAACTGCAGCAGGCCGAGGCGGAGGCCATTGACGATGAGAACGCGGCCATACTGCACGACGATCAGCAGCCGCTCACCAGCAGCTTCATTGGCCACAAAAGCCTCAATCTGCCCACAACCACATCGATGAGCTCCTTCGGCGGCGGGGCTGGCAACAATCTGACGGATGGCCCGGACAGATGACATTCGGTTGTCAATCAGAGCGATAACAACAACTCTGTGGTTATCGTTCTGGTTGACAACAAGCCCAGTTCGATGATCTGCAAGGACAGCAAGAGTAATCTCGACATCATCGATCCCAAGCATCAGCAGCATCTGCATCAGCATCAGCCACAGCCTCCATCGTGCACATCCATTGGCGGGGGGCATGGGAATGGCTACAACACGCTCCAGCATAGACGCAAATCACAGCTGATCACGTTCAGCTCATCGTCCTGTGATATCAAGAACAGTCTCAGCCATGAGCATATCTCCAATGGTGGTACCGGAGGTACCGGCAGCAATCGCGCCAGTCGCGCCAATGTTCGTCTCAGTTTCGCCGAAGAGGATGTGATGATCATACCGCAACAGCATCCGCAGCATACACAGCACACACAGCATCCCCAGGACGATGAGGTCTTTGTGCGACGTCGCTCCCTGCTCGAAGTGGAGCTGGGCGTGGAGGTGGGCGAGGAGGGTGAATTGGTGCCACAGCTAGAGCTCGATGAAGAGGAGGAGGAGGATGAAGATGAAGAGGAAGAAGAGGAGCTCAACGTGGACGAGGACCACGACGAAGAGGACGTTGAGCTGTATATGCACGACGAATTCGAGACGCACATCGATGCCAAATCGAACAATGCCAACGATGACAGTGGCGGCGGCAGCTATGAGGACTCCCATGCCCTTCACTCCTCCCTGGGCGGCAGCAATCGGAACAGCCTCGAGAAGGATGACGACGACATCGAGGTGGATGTGATCAGCACCGATGTCAGCTGCTACGACCAGTTGCTGGGCAGCAGCTGCAATACCCGCAATGGCGATGACGATGACATTGCCACCTTGATGGGCGATGCCGATTCGAATTATGCCACAACGAAGCTCTGCAAGACCTCTCTGCATCATGGCATACTGGTTGGTGCTGGAGCTGGCGCTGGTGCTGGCTCAGCCATGGGCGGTAATGGTGGTGGCAATGGAGGCAACGGCGGCGCTGGTGGCGGCGGTGGCGGTGGCGGTGGCTGTGGTGGCGGCGGCGGCGGCGGCTCCATTGGCGCAGAGGCCGGCGGCGGCATTATCTATGCCAATCCATTCATGGGTTTGTAGACAAACACACACACACACACACAGTATCCCCATGGAATGGAGAGACAACTATTTGTATTACTCGTATGTTTTCTGTGCTGCCTGCCATTCATTTATATTTGCATGACTTCTTTTCTTACGTTTTTTTCCATATACATACATATGTATTTTATGTTATATGTTATTTTTTATTTAATATCTAACATGCATGTCAGCTATGTGCTTAGGGATGATTGCAAATGAATGATTTCTCATCCAAAAATGATGGTATATCTTACAGATGACGAGGGCATTGCCGAGTCGGGGATGTAGGAGGCCCCCAATAACTCAACCGAAACAGAACCGAACCCAACTCAACCCAAACCAACCCAACCATCATGTGGCAAAACTATCGTACATTATTATTTACTTAAGAGATGAGGAGTGGAATGGAATCGATGATCAACGCTTGATATTAATACTTGGATATACAATATACAATATACAATATATATATATATATATATATGTACTACACTACTTTACACCGATCTACAACAGATCTATCGAATGGGAATGCAGCAATCTCGCCAAACACGCATCAATTTATACATTTTATATACTATATATATATACTATATATATGTGTATGTACTAAAAATCTATATCTAATATATTTGTAATTGTAATTGCTGCTTCAACAACAACAACAACAAGATGAAGAAAGAATGGAAGGATACAGATGATTGTATTTTTACGCTAGCCACAATTTGATATTTGTATATGTATCTTCCAATTTTTTTTGTACACCTAATGTTAGTGGATATATAAGTAATGTATGTATTGTGACGAGCAAAGCGCTAAATGTTTTACGTTTTTTTTTTAAACATATACACACAAGCATACAAAATACGATATAAAGACCTATATAGATACTGGATAAACAATATGCCTAATACTAGATCGTAAACGAAACTAAAAACTAAACTATAGATCGCACAAAAACAACAAACAAACCAGCAACAAAAAAACAACCATAAAAACAAATACACAGATACACAATGCAATAATTAATTGAGTTACATAGTTTTTAAACGAAAATGTTTGTAACGTTAATTGTATAGTTTTTTTTTTATTTTTGATTTTTTATTTTATTCCTCCCCACATATACAATATGTATGCATGTTTTTTTTTTATATTATTATTTGTACAATTTTATAAACCTTATGTGTATGTACTATGTGCTACTTATAGTCTTTTGTGTTTAAAATTACATTTTATTGAAAAACAAACAACAAAATACTCTTTATACTTTATATATTGAATTTGGCGCTCACTTAACCATAGAATGGAGCCATCAGATCAATCGAAACACGTTACAAAAAAGTAAAAACAAACGTAATTTAAAACACCGATGCAGAAGAAAAACAAAGACAACCAGGAAACCGATATGGTTACGATATGGATGCAGCACAACAAATAACGAATAACGAATGACCAACGCATTTTTTAAGGCGATAATCATTTACCAACAAAAGAATCCCACGAAAAACTGTAGACTATAGAGAGAGAGAGAGAGAGAGCGAGGGGGAAAATACTAGTACCCATCCATATAGAGAGGGCTGTTGCCAGACAGCCGGTGCCAAAGCCTAAACGAACAGAACCCATACAGAACAGAAACACCCCCGACTGTTATACCAATAGAAAAAGAAAAAAACAAAACAAAAATAAATAAATAAACTAATAGAATTTGTAGTCCAAATAATTTGCATACATTTTTGTACTTTATTTATTTGTCCAAATAAATATAAGAACAGAAGAACACATAAGAAGTTAGTTAAAATGTTTAACCGAAAGAACTGTGAGACAGAAGAGAGACACAATAGAAAGGTGCAATAGAAATCAATAATAGTTTTGCTTCTAGATTAGTGCAAAGAAAGCGATACAGAAGAGACAACGAAAGGAGGAACCCACCCCTCCCCCCCCATGCATACAAAGATGAAAGAACTATGAAAGAAAAGTCTGTATAATGCATGAATATCCGAATATATAGTACTACCCCCCCCCCCCCCACACACACACACACACACACCCTACCCCTACTAACATAAAACCGACTTGTATGCGTATATATATATATATAGTCGTACATGAAATACATACATATGCATATACATATACATACATACATACAATATAGACATATATAAAATATATATCATTGTAATAATTTGTAATGTTTATCAGTAGAATTATATGAACAGAGGAAAATCGCGAAAACTCGAAAAATGAACAAACAGAAAAGCAAAGAACGCATGCGGCAACAACCATTAAAGTGTACTGTAAAATGTGTAACATTGTGTTTCAATATTTCATTTCCGTATCCGCTTTCGCTTTAGAGAGGGTGCAAATGTTTGGCGTTTGGGTTAATTTATTGTAGATTTTTTTCTAAGTACTATTTAAAGATAGGTTTAACAGGGTATCTCTCACAATTTGAATACATATTGTGGAGTATAAAGCATATTTATAAGTAGGAAGATACCATTGAGGTGTGGCAGTTTCCCTGGTCATAAAAGATAAAGTGGCAAGGGGAATGATCACCTACTGGGCACTGCCACTGATACTGGCTGCACCAGAGGCTGGAGCTGTTTCCGTCATGGCCAGCGTGGCATCCAGCTCGGCTTGAATCTGTTCAAACTGATTGTAGAGCTGCAATAGCTCTGGGTGTGTCATCTCTGAACTAATGTCCTCTCCAGCTGCTGTTCGCAACTGCAGCACGCCTATTGGCGTCTTGTCGCGTTGCTGGCAATGCGAGGAGACCTCTACGTGCAGCTTCCAGGCCACGTCCTCGACCACATTTGACTCGTAGCGCGGACTGGCCAGATTCTCCATGATCGGAGTCGCCTCGCGCACCCACAGCCGCAGAATGGCATCGATCTTGGCCTCGTCCTCCAGCTGGAGCTTCTCGCGCAGCTCGCGCTGCAGCAGACTCGGCTTAATGATGAACGTGGAGATGCGACGCAGGATGTACGAGAATGTTTTGATTAGCAGCAAAAAGTCGGCACGCGGCACGCCCACCAGCCGCTCCAGCTCCTCCAGCGTGTACTCCGGCTCATTGCTGCTGGTGGGTGTGTCCTCGGCGATGCTGTCGGCCCGCTCCGTGGTGGTGACGCTGGTGCCCACGGTGCTCGTCGGGGCTGCAGCCGTTGCGCTGGGGCTCATCTGCCGATGGGTGTACCACAGCACCGTGTTGAAGGTATCGTACGGCAGGGCATTGATGATTTTTATACCCTCTCGGGCCCTGATTGGGTGGATAAAGGCACTTTGAAGGGACGGGGAACAACTCAGTTTGGTTTCTATTTACCGTTCTGTAATTTTTATCCAGTTTATGCTCATGTCCCCACTCTTGTTTATTCGGCTTATTATTATTATTATTAGTCAGCTGGTGCCAGCGTTGCCACTTTCCCATACTCGGTCGATAGTATCGATAGCCGTTTCTTGAGATTTTCTTTTTTTGAGATTTCTTCTCGTTTTCTTTAACTTCTCGCTTAAACCTAATTTCAGACACAATCCAAAAAAAAGAGCCCGTAAAGTGGACTAAGTTCGCTTTTCATCAGTATATTTACGGTATAATTTGAAAACGAAACGGTATATTTTGGTATATTTCTGAGGGTCAGACGAAAAAAAGAGTCGCAATTGTGAATGGGCTATAACAAAGGGTATGGACAACAGGCAGAAACCGCCAAAGAAAATTGCAATTTGCGTACGAACCTCACCTCGCGTGTGAGGACAATATACCTTGAAGGCAAATTGACAAGGTATACTGTGCAAATAGGGTGCATTTCACCTTGCATGCATTGCATTTTCTGGGCCGCGTTGGCTGTTATCCACACCTTGCTTTTCCTTCCGTTATGTAGAAAATGCGTAGTAACCGTGTAGAGTTTATTATAGACTATTGTTTTTTTCGGTTTGACAACACATTGTGCCGTGTGCTGTTTTATTGCTCTTGCTAAATAAAGTTGCTAACAACAACCCCCCGCACACACACACACATACGAACACACGAATGTGCTGCTGCGGAGCAAGAAGTGTTGCTTAAAACGGTCGAAATATTCAGTGAAAACTCAGTATACGGGTAGTCCGTATAATCGAAGACGAAGTCCGACTCAAATTTTTTAGAGTGTTTAGTGGTTTAGTGTCAGAGTGCGTAAGGCATACAGTGACCAAGAGAGTGGAAAAAGTGGGAGTGTAAAGAGTGCAATGACAACGTCGACAGTTAAGCGATGCCGACGATCGTCGCAAACGACGAGCTCCGGCGGTGATGCGGTTCCCGCTGAGGATGTCGATGATGATGTGATGACCGATACCAACAGTCCCATGCACACCAGCAACAGTCTGTCCAAACGGGACTCCGAGGAGGATGCCTGGGCATCCAAGGGCTACAACTATATCAATCCCTTCGTGCATCGCCTCGAAATCGACAGTCACATTGAGGTGGCCAAGGTGAGTCGTGGGCTTCGATTCCCATTTATATTCCCATTCCCATTTTTCAGACCGAAACGCTGTTTGCTATTCGCTGTTCGCCTTTCGCCATTTCCTCTCTCTGCCATCCATTCATGCAAATCGAAGCGAGCGAGCACTCAGCACATGGGCGCCCGCCGCTGAGCTAATGATGGAGTAGGCACAACTGTTGTTGCTGCTTCCGCAAGTGCGCTGCTACTTTCTCTTGCACTCTTTTTGGTATGCTCTATGCTCTCTGTCATTGCCTTTTGCATTGCACTTGACATGCATTTCCGTTACAGTCATTGTTCAACTTGTTGTTCTCTTCTCCTTTGCAATGAGCTCTTTTTTTTTTATCTGCCGCTGCCGCTGCCTACGTCAACGCTTCGCAGGCGGGCAGCGAGAATCGTATGATTTTCTTGTTCCACTTGCGGTTCTTGCTGCTGTTGCTGTTGTTGTTGCGTACGTTGTTGCCGGTTCTTTTGGCATGTGCTGTGCTCTTACCATTCCCCCTTCGAGTCCCACGCTCGCTCGCTTTTTCTCACTCCTCACGCCCAGCTGGTGTCTTGTGCCGCTTTGTTCTGGCTGCTCTTGCTTCTCCTCCTTCCGGCGGTGGGTTCCAAACAACGGTACACTCTCCCCCCTCCGATGGCGCAATCCGCAAATCGCTTACAGTTTCCCACACGTTCTAATTGCTCCCCAGCAACAAAGTGTTTTGGCAAAAACAAACACCAACGCCGTAAAATGGCGCGAGTTTTACAGCCCTGAAAATGATCTAATTTGAGAATATCGCCAGAACCAGAGTGTTCCCCTGCAAATTTCAGTAGATGCAGAGCTTGACCTTGTTTCAATATTGTCTAAAGAGAGGAAATCTCTTTGAATATTCATGTGTTCTCATCGTCCACGGAACAGCCCTACTATTTTCGACCTTCCACAGCAGTGCCGTTGTTTATTTACTTCCCTGGATCATCGTTAGTTGACATAGGTCGATATCTCCCGCTATTAGTATGTACATATGTATGTACAGCGGTATGCATTCTGAATCATTTTGTATGGTTCGACTATTTTTAAAATTACTAAATACTAGAGCTCCCGTAAGACCACAATCGTAATGCACTGGCACTGGCAATTGATTAGATCGGGCATTTGCCATGGTATGCATAAATAATCACCTACTTATACATATGTATGTACATCTGTATATACCTGTGTGTATATGCCTGTGTAGCTGTGGGGTGTACCAATCATGTCATAGCTGATCTCAATGACGCACCCAAATGGGTCTTTCGACTGAGTCAAGGCTCAAAGTCTCAATTGAAATAGAGCCATGCTGAACAAACAGACACACCGATTGGTTTGATAAGGCTCAGGCAGGCGGGCAAGTAGGCAGCCAGGCAGCCAGGCAGTTCAGGGAAATGAAATACTGAAATGCATGCTGAAAGCTGGATTAGGCTGAAAACAAACTACCGAGCAGATTGTGCAGCATTAGAGAAAGGAATAGGCTATCTTTTGTCTTTGCATTCTCGGTACCAGTTGTTTGATTTTTGCATTCTCTTTTGCACTTCTGTCGGTTGTCGAAGAGCAATAATTTCGAAGAACCCCCTATAGCATGATTATAAAAAGCTCAATACAACAGATAGAGAGAGGGAGGGAGGGCGCCAGACACAGCTGATCGCCGATGCAGAAACGGTGAAGCGCAGAGCGGAAGATCAGAAGAGAGGAAGTGCCCAAAACGGAACGAGCCATTGACCCAGTAATAACATTAAAAACGACAAAACAAAAAACCCCCGACCCCAGCTGCACAGCTGCACAGAGTCAGGTCGAGTGTCGAGGGGGGAGCGATTCCGTTGACTGCAAAAAATAAACGAACAAAAACCGGTTTTCACTTGGTTTTATAGACTTGAAAAGTTCAAGGTACTCTGCGCCGGCATTGGCATTGACTACTCAACGGTTGGCTTCTTCTGTTGCTCTTCGCGCTCTTCTTTCGCTTTATATTTGATATGGGGAGATTAGGTGGGTATCGATTCGAAGGGTACATATGTATGTACTTTCCCTTGCCTGTGATCAAAAGCCAATCAAATCTAATGTCAAGATGTAGCATGAGGGACCATGCGTGGTTTCTTATGACAGATGGTGCGAGCGGGGTTCCAGTTCTCATTTAGGCTATCCATCGTCTCTCACCGCGGCACGCTGCCTCTTTGGCGACGCACAACGTAGATCGAGACTGGAGACCCTGCTACGGCGCAAGATGGCAAGAACAAATACATTGCTTGGGCATGATTTAGCACATATACCCCTGATAGTACTCTGTGTGCCAAAAATTAAAAAAGAATTTGGGAAAATGCCATCTCTATCTCTCCATAAGTATCTCTCAGAGTTCTTCCCGAGAAGAACACACAGATCATTAAGTCTGAGTGGCGGATAAGGTATCCCATGGTCGGACTATCGATTAAAGCATTCTCCTACGTGTTGTCTTTTCTTCTGCTTCCACCAACAAAAGCTGCTTGCCGGCAAAAGCCTCCTCACCTACGAGTATGCACGCATTTGTTGCTGCCCGATGGAATTTGTTCTAAAATAAACTAAAAAACATTCGCCAAGTAAAAAAGTCCACAGTCTAGCATGAAAAGCACCGTTGTACGGGGGTGCTCTGCTCTCCTGAGGCTGGGAGAGGGGCAATCAAAAATTTGTTTCGCATTTATTTGAACGCTTTTTGACCGATAATCGAAGCTAAAGTCCGGTACGTGGCCCAGTAGCCAGCACTTGACTGATAAGCGGCGATTAGTAGCCATTATCGACAGCTATCGACAGATGTAAACATTGAAATCATTGTGAGGGAATGGATTTATGGGCTCCGGCCCCCTACCACAAGTATAAATATGTGTGCGATCAAAGGGGTAATATAGCTAAGGTTAAGAAGAGACCACGCGAATACTTGTATCCAGAGATACCAGTAGGAATACATTGACACGCTCTAGGAACAGGGACAATCATTGAACAATAGATCTGTAAATGTAAAGAAATATATGTACCAATACCAGGTGACCCAGTAGACCCGGCAAATCATTTGCCGCAGTATTGTGAACACTATTAATGTTGCTCCGAACGATGCCATTTGGAAGCACTTTCGGATGAGGGGAAAATTTAATATTTGCTTCGTGCTCGATTTGTTCATTGTCTGCCGCTTACTCTGTAAGTGTCAATTACGTACCGGAGCGCTTGTCTCCGTTCCAATTGCCGCTTTTGATTACGTGGATCTCCTGCCCCTTGTGATTGAGATTGCAGTTGCGACATGCGCACACGCACATTTTCGTTATCTTGTTGGACTCAATCGTCTGTTCTTTCTGCTCTACTATTTCGCCTGTTTCCTGCTCTATTCTGTTCTTGCCGAATCGGATGCAGCGGGAAAAATCAATACTTGCTGATGTATTCTTGTTGCATCACAGTGCGCCGCCAGAAAGGTTAATGCATAGGTATGCTACATTTAGGTATGCTATATAAACTTTTTGCAGATAAAACCATGTTCGTTGATCTAACGATGCTCAAGAGGCAATCAATTGAATAATTTAGCTTTTGCCTTGCAGATCTATGTGCTGACGGTTCTGTTGCTGCCCATCCGTGTGGTCGGATGCGTGCTCTCCCTTCTCTCTGCGTGGATGTTCGCCTGCATTGGGCTCTATGGAATGACACTGGATGATCTCAAGGCTAAGCCGCTCTCCGGCTGGCGCAAGTAAGTGATATCCGGGTATCCTGTGGCCGAGCTAATCGTCTTTATTTTTCTGTCCACAGGCAAATGCAATACATGACGGCCAAGGCCATGCGCATGCTGTACACCTCAGGATCTTTTCACCACGTGAGCATGAAGGGGACACCGGCGACACCAAAGCAGGCACCCATTCTGGTGGTGGCACCGCACTCCTCCTACGTGGACTCCATTCTGGTGGTGGCCACCGGCCCGCCCTCGATAGTGGCCAAG